TTTTTTTTTTTTTTTTTTTTTTTTTTGAGGTAGAGTTTCAGTAGGTTGAACAGATGAATTTAAACTTGGCAATCCTCATGTCTCAGCCTCTGATTTCTAAGATTATAGGTGCATGCCACCACAATTAGTTCAAAGTAACATTCTTGTTGTTTTCATAGTTTATGATACTGTTGTGACTTGTCTTGAGTCATTCATATATTAAGTGAATTTTGATTATTGCCATTTTTTTTTTTTTTTTTGCAGTTTTAATAGTAGTGTTAATAAGAACCCTGGCCTCAGAAAAGTTACTTTGTTTAACCTTCATAATTTTTCATGAAAGGTTGTATTTTTACTCTTGTTTTGTTGATGAGGAAGTTGCACATTAAGGGTTGAGCATTTATAATATGACTGCTATAAACTTTGATTTCTATATTTATGTGGTCAAAGTTTTGGTTTATAATGTCTAGTTCCTTAAGTAATATAGAATATAAACTTGAAGCTAGTTTTATTTCAATATGGTCTCCAAGAAAATTCTGTCCAAGAAAATAAGTTAACTGAAGTTTGTATTTTATAGTTTGGAAGACTTCACTAATTGGGTCTCTAAGGCAATAAATTCTCGAGAAACTGATCATCTCATCAATTCTGTGAGTTGTTAGATTGCATCATATATTCTCTGGGTTATTTCTAAGTTTAGAATATACAATTTCCTATTTAGAAGTTGTTATTATGCAGCTTAATAATTTTTATTCCAAACACAATTAAACATTTATATTTATAGTGTGGGAGATGAGGTCATGAGTCCTGATTTTGTGTGTGTGTGCGTGTGTGTGCTGCAGGGCATCAAACTTGGGGCCTAACACATGCAAGGGAAGCACTCCTAAGCTGTGCTCCAGGCCTTGTGTTTTGTGCCTTCAAGGGTCCATCCCTTTCTGTTCTTTAATGAGGCTAGAAATCTGGACTACATTAGGATGTAGGATATGGAGATATTTTTCACCTAGTAAGTATCATTATTGAATTGATCTAGTTCAATAGAGAGCTCAAGATTAAAACCAAAAGGTAGGGGCATCAGTATTAACTGTATAAATGCTGACGGCTCACTGTAATGATTAAACATGGCATTAAGTTGTGCTGACATGCTGTGGGCACGTTTGCTACTGTGCTGGTACTGGGTGCACTTAATGAAACAGAGTGTTTTTAGCTTAGCAGAATGCTCAGGAACAAACAAATGTAGAAACACACTGCGAGGTGGGACCTTTGCAGAAGTAAGTCAAAGCATATTTTGAAAAATTCTTTACTTCCCCATTCTAAATTTTCCTTACAGCAGCAAATAATAAAGTTTATAGTTGTTTGGTAGCCCACATCTATAATCTCAGCACTATAGAAGGCTGAGACAGGAGGATTGGAAGTTTGTGCCCAGCCTGCAACTTCAGAAACTTAGCCCTGTCCTAAAAACAAAACAAAACAACAACAACAAAAAAAACACCAAAAAAACCCCAAAACAAAACCAAGGCAGGGATATAGTTTAGTGCTAAGGTCTTGGGTTCAATCTCTAGTACCATAAAAATAAATAAAACTAAATTTACTTCTTAGCATTAATAATTCTCGTCTCTGTCTTCCTTTTGCCTGAAGGACTTGGGATCGCCTAGTGGGGCAGACCCACTCACTGGAGATCCTCAGCCAGAAGCACGGTGCCCATCTGCCTCCGGGTACCGCCTCCGCTGCCTGGATACCTTCAGGGGGTAAGTGCATTCCCTATGAAGCAGGGGGACATGTACTCCCTGATTACATAATTATACACCAACACACTTTAAAGCCTTTTATCTTCTAAACTGGAAAAGGTTTTTTGGATTTAAAAATAAAAGTCAATTGCGTCTCCTTACTTGAAAAGTGTGATGAGGAGCTGGAATGTGGTTCAGTGGCAGAGTGCTTTGCTGATACCACAAAGACAAATAATAAATTAAAACAAAACAAAACAATAGAAAAGTAAAAAAGAGAGGGCCAGCAACATAGCTCAGCAGACTAAGTGCCTGCTAGGCAAGCGCAGGGTTTGGTCCCTGCCCCTGGATACACTGAGCTGGCCACAGAGACTGGGCATGGTGGTGCACACCTGTAATCCCAGTGCTGGAGAGGCTGAAAACAGGAGGAGCACTATGAGTCTGAGCTGCGTAGTGAGACCCTGTGCCAGATACATAACAAGAGGAAAAAAAAGCTAACTACAAATTTGTCATTATATCCAATATTACAAGTTGATAGAGTGGAGTGGTTAGGACAAAACCACAATCAGCTACTGGTACATATAACCTGTTCAGTATCTTACTTGCTTTCAGATAACTAGGCATTTGTTCCATTTGTAAATCAGAGGCAGTCAAGAGAGTATATCAATTTTCATATTTTAAATTAAGGAAAATGATTGTTTCTTGGTATGTTTTCCCCCAATCAGCTTGGTAACAATAGTGCATGGTTTCACCAAATTATTATTACCTATATTTCTAATGCAAAATTAACAATTTTTCTTTAAATTATAAAGTATTAAACACCTTGAAAATATTTAAAAAATTCTCAGCTTGCTTGGGTTCTTGTTTTTTTAATATAGGGCCGCACTATGCAGCTTAGACTCATAGTGGTCCTCTTGTCTCAGCCCCTCCAGTGCTGGGACTACAGGCATGTGCCACCATGCTCCATTTTGGGGCCAGCATGGCATGTGGTCCTGGGGAATCAAAGCCAGGTCCTTGTGCTTGCCAAGCAGGCGCTTAGACCACTGAGCTATCTTCCCAGCCTACCAGAGTTATGGAATCCTGGTAGGTTCTGTTTGAAAGCAGGACACACTGGTTGAGTATCATTTATCCAAAATATTTGGTAGTAAGAAAGTTTCAGATTTTTAGTTATTTATATAAACATATATCTTGGGGTTAGGACCCAAGTTTAAATAGAAATTTTTTTGTGTGTACATAGCTTGAAGATAGTTTTACATGTTTAATGTGCCTATGTGTTTTCATTTTGTAAGTTTTGGTGCTTGAGGATTGAATCTAAGGCATCACATGCTAATAAGCACACACCTCTAGCCCTGAGCTACACCTCTAGCTCTAGGCTATGTGGGATTTTCCATCATGTCAACTTTCAAAAATTTTTGTATTTGGGAGCATTTTGGATTTTCAGATTAGGGATATGTACTGGTAATAAAGGGCATTTTAAATAATAAAATTTATATTTAAACTTGGGTCCCAACCCCAAGATATATCGTTATATTTATGCAAATGGTAATAATTGATTCCAGTTTCTGAGTTCTAGGTGCCATTTACTATGTGTCATAATTTATTTGTCTTTCCACAATTCCTATAAGATGTATACTTTTGATATGCCTGCTTTACAGATGGAAAAATTGTGCCATTGAGTTAAATAATTATTGGTCATTCAGATACTAAAGGAGAAAGGATTAGATTCTAAGCAGTTATATTACAGAGACTCCACGGATTATGCCTTTAGCATCTTCATCTTCAGCATTCTGTATTTAACATCAAGCAATAGTATAGGCTGGGCACACACCTGTAACCCCAGCACTTGGGGGCTGAGGCAAGAAACTCCTTGAGTTCAAGGCCAGCCTTTCCTACAAAGTGAGTTCCAGCCTGAACTGCAAGTGAAACTGTCTTAAAAAAACAAAACAAACAAATAAAAAAACCCCTAAAAACTAAAACCAAAAATTAATACTGTATTCTTTTTTTCACTCACAATTGCCACTTTTGGAATTCAGGTATTCACAGATGGACAGAAACTAACATTTAGGCACATTAAATGTCTAAAATGGGCCAAGCAGTACTAAGGCGTTGTACTGGACCCTTTTCACTGTAGTGGTCACATGTGGGATTTTCCCTCTTTTTCATGGTTAATTTATGAGAGTCTTAGAGTCTCATGATCGTTAAGAGGAAAGGACTCAAGGTTTGAATTTTTAGCCCTCTGAATTAAATGACTGTCTTCTATGACATTTTACCTTAGATACTGAATTATTAGGGTAAAATTGAGTTATTGGAAGTGTTTTACTGTTTTCAAGTAATATGGTTTAGTGCTGTAGTGTAAATTTTTCTTGAGACATCATGTTGTAAATGTTGCCAACAGAATTATAGTGTATGGTTTCAATTGTGATTAGAAAATAATAGTTTCATGCTCTTCAAATCTCTTCTTGTGTCATAAAGTTCTATTAGAATCATGTTAATGTATGGCCACATGCTGTGAGGATAAATGCGTATCTGTGGTTCAGCAATTCCTTGTCACATTGCAAATGCTGAAGGTATTTTCTTTTTTGGCTTTATAGGATAGCTCTCGTCCTCATGGTCTTTGTTAATTATGGAGGAGGAAGATATTGGTACTTCAAACATTCCAGTTGGAATGGTAAGATATTTTCTATAGGTAGCATTGCTTATAGCTCTGAAGAAGAGATTCTGAATAACATTGCTTAAAGCTAGTGGTCTAGTTCACATACTTCTACTTTGGTTTTCCATGTCTAGTTATGGTTAGGAGAACCCTGAGATTGATTCTGAGTCTCAAGGGAGAGTTTGTATTTGTTATCATCTCTCTGAGTTACACTCTCTGTATCAGTATGTACTGAACTTCATTTTTAAATTGAAAATGTTTATAGAATTCTCTTTCTTATCATTTATACTTATGTTGTTCTACAGGACTGACAGTGGCTGACCTTGTATTCCCATGGTGAGTTGGCATTCTACTATCACACTTTTAATAGGTCATCTCTAGGATTTTTGTCTTTCAGACAATGCTTGAGTCCCTCTCTCAGACCAGTCTTTTTTTTTGGGGACCACAAAACTGTATTTGCCATTATAAAATCCTTCCAAAGTTGTGGGGTGTTTTTTTTGTATTGGGAATTGAACCTAGGGCCTTCACACTGATTTACATCCCCAGCTCTTTTTTATTTTGAGACAGTGTTTCACTAAGTCACTAATTGCCAACCCTGGGCTTGAACTTGAAATCTTTTTGTCTTAGCCTTCCCCAGAATGGTATGATTATAGATATGCATCACCATGCCTAGCTATTAGGTAGTTCTTGTGTTTGTCATTATGCTTATGCATGTATGTACAAAGGACAAGTGAGTTTTTTTTCATGTATTTAGTACAGGGTCTACAGGGTCTCACTATGTAGACTTTTTTTTTTTGTGGTACCGGGGATTAAACTCAGGACTCTGCGTTTGCCAGGCAAGCACTTATTCTACTGAGCTATCTCCCCGGCCCTGGTCTCACTATGTAGATCAGACTCATAGATTCTCCTGTTTTCAGCCTCCCAAGCTCTGGGATTACAGGCATGCGCCACCACACCCAGTCTCAATCGTCCTGAGTCTCAGTCGCCACTTCAGTGTGTCTCAGGCATGTCTGGGGCAGGCTGGCATGCTGGGGATCAAACCACAGCAGCTGTGCTCTGCCTAAGCAGGTGCTTTAGTCTGTTGAGCTATCTGTATGGCCCTAAGTGATTTTTTTAAATGTGTGTGATGCTGGGGATTAAACCTAGAGCCTCATGCTGCTAAGTGTGTGCTCTGCCATTGAACTATAGCCCCAGCCCAGAAATGATTGATTTTTTTTAGCAAGCATTATGTTAGAACAGATACGATATTTTAAAATCCTGCAGAATATCATAAATTCTAAATATATGGTTAAATTCCATTACACCTGAAAATGTGTAAAATTATATTTCTTAAAGGAAATACAGTATATTGGTATTTGTAGTTACGAATAAATATGTAACAGGCAATAGTAATAACAAATTAAAATTTAATATAAGAGTTAAATTTAATGTAAACTTTCTGTTTATCCATGGATTCTTATTTTTTGTAGGGGACACTTCCCATATGATGTGCAATTTGTACCTTTGCTATATTGCTTTGAGCAGCTCTGCTGCATCTTTAAGAGACATTTCCAGGAGACTGTTTTATGTCATTGGTCCTTTGTATTTTATTACTAATATGAACTCAGTTTTTGGAAAGAAGCTGATTGTTTTCTGAAATGGATCTGGTAGGATACATTTTACATGCCTAAAAAACTGATCACCATTGTCCTGCTTAGTTTTCTACTGGGATTGAATTCAGGAATTTTCTACTATTGAGTTACCTCTACAGTTCTATTGTTGTTATTAATAATGATAATTGTTATTATTTTGGAACAGAATGTTGCTAGTTATGTAGGCTGGCCTCCAGCTTGTGATCCTGTGTTAGCTTTCTGAGTAACTGAGTTCATGGGTGTGTGTGTCTATGCCTGACTTGATAATTACTTATGCATATTCTTTGTAAGGCTTCCTTTTGAGAAATTTCTAGTTACTATAAGCTTTTTTTCCCCCTCCCAAGTACTGGGGATTGAACCCAGGGCCTTTGTACTGTGCTGTAGTTCTAGCCCCCCACCCTCACTCCAGTATACTTGAGTTTTCATTTTGAGACATGTTCTCAAAAACCTAAGCTGCTCAGGCTCGGCTCAAACTTGTGATCCTCTTGCTTCAGCCTATCAGAGTCCTGAAGTTACACATACTTGTCACCACGCCCTACTTGAGCTTCTCATCTGATTGAGGTCACCTTGGAAAAAAAGCCAAGGCACCCCCAGGCATGCAGCAAGAGCAAACTCATCTCTGTGACTTTTCACTAAATAACTAGAAAAATTAGCAGTATGATTTTCTTTTAAAGAGACATTTTGAAATTATTGAAATGCTTTGTTCCTCAGTGCCATTGAGGGCATGCTAGGGCAAAGTCTGGTTGTTTGTATTAGATGTCATTATTTTTCTCTGACAGTTAATTGGAAAGGTTGTGCTTGGAAATTTTATTTATTACTAAAACATTTTCTTTTAAGGTATGTCTTGAACATCTGATGCCAGAATTTTCATAGCACAACAGGTTATATGCCAACCTCTCCCTCAGCTCTTGGCTGAATGTTAAAAACTGGCTACTCTCTGGTAGTCTCCTGCAAAATATTAGTGATGCATAGATGAAAAATCACAAATGGGATAGATATAATCAGAATATACACATTGAAACCCAGGATATTTTGTAAAATACATAGGCACTGATAATAAAAGAAAAAATTAAAAATGAACATCTAATAGATTTTTTTTTTTAGGTTTGTGTTTATTATGGGATCTTCGATTTTTCTATCAGTGACTTCTGTACTTCAGCGGGGATGTTCAAAATTCAAATTACTGGGGAAAATTGCATGGAGGAGTTTCCTTTTAATTTGTATAGGAATTTTCATTGTGAACCCCAATTATTGCCTTGGTCCATGTAAGTATTTTCTCCCCCTTTTTAGTATATATTTAGGTTGAACACTGGAAAATGTATGTTATAATTTATAGCCTTGTCTATATATTGATCCATCACACCGCTAGAAATGGAACCCAGGTTGTTGTGCATGCTAGCCATGCACTTTATCACTGCTCTGTAGCTCCACTTGTTACCATTTGAATGAAATGTTATTTCTCCATCTCAGGTATCTGCAAAAAGAACTCTTGTTAGGAAAACATATATAATGCTTGTGTAACTTTGGGCATTATTCTTATTATCATCTTGGACTTTTAGATCTAGGAGGATCCTCTGAATGTGAATCCTGTTCACATTCATTTGCTGTATGAAAGAAAAGTCTGAGACCATGAGAGATTCAAGTTTTCTCTGGTGTATGTGTGCATAGAGCAGGACAGCGCAGAGGCAGACCAGGTCCTTATTCTCAGGCCCTGCTTTCTATCCATTTTGTTTTCTTTTTTGGTCCACATGGAGTGGTGATTTTGAGAAACCCTTTGTTATCTTGTGTATGCCAGCTGGGTTGCTGGGGAGGATGATGGCTTTGCCATTCCTGTAACAGCATGTGGTAAGGCAGGGCTATCAGCAGATGAGTGTAAAGTCCATGCTCTGTAGCAGCATCAGTGAGCAGTAGTCCCTGACCTCAAGTGGCTCTCATTAGCCAAACAGGACACACAAGTTTTGGCAGTAGCCAATTCAAGCTCTTAGGATTAAGTACTTTTATTGAAAGGCGGTTAGTACTAGGAGGACAGAGAGGTCCCTTATTGATGTTGTATGAGAGTAGATTTGATGGACTGCCAAAAAGAGAGCCATGGCTCTGGGTAGAGTTCCAGGGTTTGCCACAGCCTCACAGTTTTCCAGTTGATGCTGTCATGTCACATTTAGGTCAGGGAGAGTCCCTCAGTGGCTTGTTTTGAGTCTGCAAGTTCCTGTTAGACATGAAAGTGAAATTCAGATAACTGATGGGAAAGGCCAGCAGATGAAATTCAGTGTCAAGGGTAGTCCTTACCCTATCTCTCCCCCTAAGTAAGCTGTGTTTATTCTCAGTCTCCCAGCTAGCCAAGCTCTCAGGTTTGAGTTTGAGCTTTCTCCTGACCATCTTTCTTTTGAGTGGGACTGGCCTGCTCTCTTAGAACTTCAGCTTAAGCCATATCTCTTTTTTTTTTTTTTTTTTTTTGTGGAACCGGGGATTGACCTCAGGCTCTTGCGCTTGCCAGGAAAGTGTTTAATCCACTGAGCCATCTCCCCGGCCCCTTGAGCCATATCTCTTAACCAAGAACTTAAAAATACTTATTTAGTTGTAGTATAGGTATAGCTTCCCTTTTAGGAAAAAAATAACGTTTTTTTGGGGGTAAGATGAGACATTTTGGCCATGCCTTACCTAACTTGTTCTTCTGCAGTGTCTTGGAATAAAGTACGAATTCCTGGTGTTCTGCAGCGGTTGGGAGTTACGTACTTTGTGGTTGCTGTGTTGGAGCTCCTGTTTGCTAAACCCAGACATGAAAATTGTGTCTCGGTAAGAAATCATGTAAATATGTGATTAAAAAAGGGGGAAGTGTGTGATAAATAAAAGGGGGAGATATGTGATAAATTCATTTACAAAGTTTTTGGAACTTTTTTCATTCTGTGTGTAATACTGCCAGTTAATCAGCTGCATTTCTTTTTAAATTTCTTTTTATTAAATCTTTATATGTATCTGTATCTGGTTCAGAGGATTTATACCAGAGTCTTGCATATGCTTGTCAGGGGTTCTACCATTGAAATATAGTTCACCTCACTTTTTAACTACTCTTTTCCTGTGATACATCCTAGAGCATGTAGACAATATCAAACCTATTAAATAATGCTTTGCATTACTACTAAAAGGTCAAGAAAATAATCATTGGGAATTTCCAGGATACATACTGTAATATAGTTCTCTTGTATTTGCATTTGCAACTACGTACTGGCATACTTACTGTTTTCTACCCTGTCCCTCACTCAGAACAGAAGATTCCCTTTCCTTCGAGACGTCACCTGCAGTTGGTTCCAGTGGCTCCTCATTTTGCTCCTCGAAAGCATCTGGCTTGGCCTGACATTCTTGTTACCTGTTCCTGGATGCCCTACGTAAGTGGACCCTTGCCAGATAATCTCCTTTAGCATGTTACTTGCTTCCAAATCAAAGCTTCTAGGTTTATAGCTTTCAAATTTCTCAAGTTAGAGGATTTCTGTTTGACTTCTTTATGTCCTTTCAGGGGGAGAGATTATGGTTGATATTTTGTTGAATATTAGTTGAAATTGGTTGGGCCTTATGCCTTACCAGTGTTGGGAGCAGGTGAGTCACGTGTTGATGAAGGTGCAGGGAGGCAGAGGGATGTTTTAGACTTGTACCTAATTGAGGCTCTTTGAATGAGCCTGCATAAATATCTACTATATGCCACTCTCCTTTCTAAAGTCTCATTATTTATATATGTTTCACTTCCTAGTGGGTACCTGGGCCCTGGTGGTATTGGAGACTTGGGGAGATATGTAAACTGTACTGGAGGAGCCGCGGGCTACATTGACCACCTGCTCCTAGGAAGTGACCACTTGTACCAGCATCCTTCTTCTACGGTGTGTGATTGGCTTTTACATGAGACAGCTGTTTAGAAGCTCTGAAATTGAGGAAAATAGGAGTTGGCCTGCTTTAGATCATCTCCCTTTAGTAAAATGTGATAGGAACTAGTTTTTCTTTGAAAAATTAGCTAATTTGATGACTTCATCATGTGGCAGTAGGTGAGCATTATTTTAGACAATAAAGTAAGGATGAACTATATAAACGGAATAGCATTTAGTGCTTTCTATACATCTCAGGACAGATTTACAGGCAATCTCCTCTGAAACAGAGATTTCTATGCAGGAATGTCACAGAGAATCTTTGTTGGATCGATCCCTGTTGGGGAAGGAAGGAGGCAGGGCTGGGCAGAGTGAGAAGTTGAACTGCACTGCAGGCCCAACAGAGAAAGACCTAAGGAGAAGCTGGGTACAACTGTAGAACTGCATACACTGGGGTGAGGGATTGGGCCCCATGTTCCTTGTTGGGTATGGACTGCCCCAGCAGGAGTAACACCTGCAGAGCTTCAGAGGCAGCTTTTTTTTTTTTTTTTTTCAATACTAGGGATGGAACTCAGGGTCTGTCACACATTCCCACTCAGCTACAGCCCCAGCCTTGCAGTATCTTTATTTTAAGACAGTTCAGAAGAACTCAACTGGAAACTTTTAGCAGTTAATTTTTAATTTTGCTAGCAGCTGAGGAGTGAAGGCTTTGGTCCTGAAAGGGTAGGAGGCTCTGCTGGTAGTCTGTACAGCTACACTGTATGTTTTCAAATTTCTATACAGTCAGCATTTATTTTATAATGAAAACACAGTTTTATTTTTTTATTTTACTGTGTTCTGTAGATGTTGGGGACTAAACCCAGGTCATGTGCACGCTATACACAGCCACTCTAAGTGTATTTTGAAATGTTATTTGCCTTAAGAGAAGATAGAAAGCTGTCATTGCCATAGTAGGTTAGAATAAAAAAGACTAATTCTAAAAATTATGAAGATGTACATTGTATTTAAAACTGTTCAAGTGGGAATCCGACACTTTACTGAGGCATTGTCCCAGGGACTCTGCATATCCTGGACACACCATATACTTGCATGCTCAGGAAGTAGTATGCCTGTGAGTACTGTAAGTCAGCAGTGAATTTCTGCAGCAAAACCAAAATCAAACAAAATAAAAAATGTTGAGTTGCGAGTTTCAGCATTCAAGTTTGTATTTAGACTGAGAGTTGCTCATGTTCATTTCCATGGTCAGTGAGTAAAGGCTGCCTCCTTGTTCTGTTTTGTGAAGGTGCTGTATCACACCAAGGTGGCCTATGATCCAGAAGGAATCTTGGGGACCATCAACTCCATTGTGATGGCATTTTTAGGGGTTCAGGTATTTGCTCATTTCAGTAGCACACATTTTTTCTGATAGTGTATGATTACCAATTAAACTACTTCATTAAAATAGATGCATATCCTTTTCTTTGCTACAATACTAAATTGTGTTCAGGTTCAACAGATTGTACAAAACCAGAAGTTCCTAACACTTGCACAAATAGATGTAATTCTTATATTCTAAAAAAATTTCTTATTTATGTGCTCATGTTAGTCAAGCAGTTTTGGATAAAAGATGAGCTTGCTGAAGTATGCAGAGTATTCAGACATTAGTGACCATGAGAAATCACCTTGTCAGGTGTGCTATTTATTTATTTAATGTATTTAGTCTCAGGGTCTCACTGAGTAGATCGGACTCATAGTGATCCTCCTGTTTTTGGCCTCCCAAGCGCTGGGATTACAGGTGCATGCCACCACGCCCAGTCTCAGTTGTCTCAGCGTGCCCCCGGGGTGGGGCCATCATGGCACACAGGGGATTGAACTATTTATTGTTTGTATATCTATCTCACCATGTTTCTGATGCTGTTAAAACAAATAAGCAAACAAACCCAAACAAGCAACAATAGCAAAAACAGAGACAAGATAACGTCTAAAGAGCAGCAAGTTATTTCTTGCAGTTCTTGAATCTGGGATGTCCAAGATCCAGGTGCTGGCAGGTTCATTGTCTGGTGAGGGTCTGGCCTCTGCTTCCAAGATGGTAACTTGAACTGAGCATCTTGCAGAGGACAAGCACTGTGTCCTTACCTGGTGGAAGGTGCAAGGGCAGAGCCTTGAAACTGGCTATTTCAAGCCTTTATTATGATGTAAAATGCATTCATGAGGGCAGCGCCATCAGACATGCACATCGTAGTCAACACTGTATGGTTTCAGAGTATTCATGTTTTCTGTCAAGGTTAATAGAGGTGTTTCCTTGAATGCACTTGCTGTAATTCTGAGCAGTCTATATGTGTCTTCCTAAAATTCTCCTTACTGGTGCTTGAAACTGTTTGAGGTTTAGTGAAGTGGGAGGGAGAAAACTGGTAAAGCTGTGCTCTGAATGAGAAGGCTCTTCATGCATGCTATCTGCTAGTGTGGCCACTAACCAGGTGGTGGGCAGTGCCTGAGATGTGGCAAGCTTCAGGAATGAAGTTTTTAGCTTACTTAATTATAATTAATTCAGGTTAAATTTAAAGTCAGATGTGGCTTTTGGTTCCTAAATTGGTTAGTAGAGATGGAAAGCATACACATTTTGGTGATTAAATAATTTTGTAGTTAAAGATTACTACACTATCACTATAGCACTGTCTAGTTCATAAACAAGTCTGCTGAATTATTTAGCTCTCTAGGGAAATCCCTGCTAGCTGAGCCAGCTCATCCAGGGTGGAGGCTGAGCATGGCCTGGAACCACAGTGGGGTGGAGTCCAGCTCTGTCACCTTCTGCTGGCAATTACAGTGATGCCCTGGTTTATGAATTTAATTTGTTTTATGATTTTAGGAAAGATGATTGCATTTGTGTTTGTGTGGGAAGATGAACATGGTCATGTTTGTCATCCAGTATGGAGTTTGTGCATAGATGCAAGATTTTTCCAAATGCCATTTGTGAATCAGATTGTTTGCAAACAGAAGCATTTGTGAACCAGGACACTGTATTATTGTATCTCAGTCTGCTGAGCTACACCATCACCTGCTTTATTAGGGGCATTTTGATGGTTAAGTAAGTTAATTCCTGTAAAGTTCTAAGAACTGCACATAGAAAACTTCCATAAATTTTAACTATTATTATTAGCACTTTTATTCTTTGATGTTTTCAAATATTCCTAATTTCAGTGGGATTTCATGCAAAGTACTAGTGGGGTTTTTAAAAATGTCTCTGCCTATAGTTCCATTGTGTCTTGCCTTCATAGTTGCTGGGGATATAGTTTGGTGGCTCAGTATCTGCATAGCAAGTGCCAGGCCAAGTTCAATTTCCAGTATGTAAACAAAACAAACAGAACACCTTCCTGTGTAGTGCTGCCAGACTGGTGGTTTAGCAGGCCAAGCTGTGCAGGTCTCTTAGCACTTTGGGGTCATATTTTCCTTGGCTCTCCATTGCTTATGAAGGAAAAAAGCACTCCCCACCATTAACTTACTGTCTGCCCCCTTGTTTGTCCTCCCTACCCTCTAGCTTTCTGTGGCCCCTTAGAGATGTTAGCTTCTTTATTTTTTACTTTTTGTTACTGGGAATAGAACTCAGGATCTTGTGCTTGCCAGGCAAGTATTGTACCACTGAGCTACACCCCTGGCCTTCAGGGGCTTCTTTACACCTGTCCATGTTGCTCTGTGCCTGCTGTTCCCTTTGCTTCCACCCTCATGTTCTATGGCTGGCCCTCCATGGTACCCCCATCTAATGCTGACCTCCTTTCCCAGGGAGCACCTCATTTTCTCTCATTCTGCCTTGAGGGTGGGGAAGGGATGAGGTGTCATTCCTCCTGGAAGCCCTGCAATCTGAATGTGTGCTTAGTGAATGAATGTGCTTGTTGAGTGATTAAGACAATGAATGAGTATGAAACAATAATATGTCTTTGGAGAGTCCCTTGCTTATAATGTTTTCTTCTTCAGGCAGGGAAAATACTAACGTATTACAAGGGTCAGACCAAAGACATCCTCATTAGATTCACTGTCTGGTGTTGTGTTCTTGTAAGTACTGATGTTTCTTACCTAGATGGCTTTTCTTTACAATCATCTATATTTAAAAAGAAGTAAAGTATTTGTATTTAGCAACACTGCTATAGTATCTGTTACCATGTAGTGATCAGGACTATTTTTCACTTGAATAACAGAGGAACAAATCTTTTTTCTTATTTTTTTATTGTTTTGGTGTTAGAGATTGAACCCTCATCCATGCTGAACACTTATATTATACTAGTCAGCTACACCCTCATCTCCAAGGTGGAACAAATCTTTACACCTAAATTCTCAGGTTTATTTTCGTAGAATGCTGTGTTTATGAATACGATAGTGTTTGTCATCAAACAGTGACATGAGGAATGCCTAAAGAAATTGTGAGTTATAGATTCTGCATAGGAAATGTTATCAGGAAGACTAGGCATATAATAATGCTTTTTAAATGTCAGCTTTCAGATTTATATGTAAAATTTTTCTAAGTTTTTTTTTTTTAGTATTTTCTAAGTTTTACTTAGTGTTCATTTTATCCCTAATTTTGCATTTATGTTTCCTCTTAGGATTTGCTGTAATTTATTAATTAGTTTATCTTTTTCAACTCAGAGAAATACTGAAAAGTTAGTTTTGGAGAATTGGTTTTTAATTATGTCTCTTAAAATATGTTTCCACTTAAAAGGATAAAATGGCCACAATTTTTAGCCTCCTTTAAACAGATATTTTGTTTTGAAACACAATTATTATTTTGAAATCATAGTAGAAAACTAACATCCATCTCCCTATTTTAGGGGCTTATTTCTGTTGCTTTGACAAAAATGTCTCAAAATGAAGGCTTTATTCCAGTAAACAAAAATCTCTGGTAAGTATAGAAGTGTCATTTAATGTTGGTGATTTTCTGAGATAAAATTGAATGTGTTTGTCCCGAGCATCACTCATTCAGCTCTTCACAGGTCCATTTCCTATGTCACCGCACTGAGTGCTTTTGCCTTCTTTATCCTGCTGGCCCTGTACTTGGTTGTTGATGTGAAGGGGCTGTGGACAGGAACCCCATTCTTTTACCCAGGTGAGTCATCTCTACCCCCATACAGAGTTGGTAGAATGGCAGAGAGAGAATGCAGCAGGATTGTTCTCCCAGATTTCCAGGACAGCCTTGGCCTGTTCCAAAGCAGCCTACTCCGTTTTTCACCCATTTAGGCTTTGGAGTGATTGTATGACAATTTAAAAAAAATATATATATTTACTACAGGGTCTACAGGGTCTCAATGCACAGATTGAACTCAAAGTGATTGTCCTGTTTTCAGCCTCCCAAGTGCTAGGATTACAGGCATGCACTACCACACCCAGTCTCAGTTGGGTCTTGGCACCCTTTAGGGGCAGCACCAGCATGCCGGGGATTGAACCTGGTCACTGCATCTGCCTAAGCAGGTGCTTTAATTCACTGAGCTATCTGGTTGGCCCTGTATGACAATTAATAATCCACTTTTTTCTTCAGGCAAAACCAAATTGTGGAGTATCAGAAATGATGCAGGGCATATTGTCCAGTTTTTAGAATTTGGAAATAGGACTATGCTTTCTTATTGCCAGTGTATTACCTGAAAGATTATATCTCTAAGAAATGGAAAGAGATGATATTAAGAGATAAGTGGAATGAGTCCGATGTATTTTAAAGGACTGAGAGACCAGAACATTTCAGTGGACATTCATTTTATTTAGGTCTTTGAATCTAGTAATAGTTAACATTTTTTGAATCTTAAATTTTCTGTCTAAAAAATACGAGTAAAACTTATCATTTTCCTTTCAGATTTGATATGGAAAAATTCATTGTGGGGTTGGTGGTGCACCTCAGTTGTACAGCACATGCTTAGTATGTGTGGTGCCCTGAGTTGTCTTCAGCACCACAAACAAGCAATGAAAGAGAATTCACTGATATAAAGTGATTATTTTCTAATACTGTTTGCCTTTAAATATCTGAGATGTGGGTGGGTGCATTACTTATTTTTGCTGGTAGCCAGCAGGGCTAGGGCATGGTTTTTACTTTTTTATTGAACTTATTCAAGGAATTATATCCATTATCTGATGTGACTCAGGACAAACTTCTCTATATCTCTCTTTAAGGAATGAATTCTATTCTGGTGTATGTTGGCCATGAAGTGTTTGAGAATTACTTTCCCTTTCAATGGGAGCTGGAGGATAACCAGTCACACAAAGAACATTTAATTCAGAATATAGTCACCACTGCGCTCTGGGTGTTCATTGCCTATGTTCTCTACAAAAAGAAGATTTTTTGGAAAATCTGATCTACCACTAAAATGTGTTGCTGGAAGAATCTAGTGGGTCTGAAGAAGTACTGAAAAAGCCTTTCTAGGAATCATCTGTGATAAAACTGGTAGTTTGTTTCCAGATTATTGTGAAAGATGCTGAACTAAAATTGGCTCTCTGGAATTCCTGATACGACTTACAGACTTTTCTCTGTACATTTATGACTTATATATTTGGAAACTTAGTCTTTTTCTTCATCTACCACAGAAATGGATGTATTTGGAGCTGCATTCTAAGGAAATTGTAAACCCCTCTCCCATTTTGGCTCTGTAGTTCAGGCTAGCCTTAAACTCACTGTGTAGCCCAAATTGGCCTTGAACTCATGTGTATCCCTCTGCCTCAAACTCCCAAGTGCTGGGATTGCAGGTATGAACCACCATGCCTATGCTGTGAACTATCAGTCTGATGTAAAGTTCTCTTGAACATAATTTTATAAATATATCCTTATATACTCTGATATTAAACATTGAACTATCTCAGATATTTCTCTATTCTAGTGCTTTTCTTTGTACTTTGTTTGTGATACACAGTGGGACTGTCTAACTCATTTCATCTTACCTTTTCTTCAAGGACTAGTTTCTTTAGCCCCAACTTCTATTGTGGATATTGGTTGAAAAGTTTCCAGGGTTTTTAAAACTCCTCTATTTGGTGCCAGTAAGTTCAACAATTTTTCTCCATTACTTTCTGATCCTTCCTACATGCTCTACCCCACTCCTCAGATGAAATATTCTAGCCAAATTATCTGCCACTGTCACATTCTGGCATTTGTCTTACTTTTCTCGCTGTTCTCTTCATCTCTGACCTTGCCCAGAGCTCCCATTACCTCCCCAGATCTGAACTCTATGGGTTGGCATACCTCTCCCCTTCATTGGCTTTCAGTCAAGCAACTCTCACCATCCCTTGAAGACCAGATCACCCCTATCACTCCCAGTGCCATTACCCAGTCCCCAGTCAGGCTCAGAGGGGACTAAAGCTTATTATCTCTTGCTTGTTCCAACATGGGCTTCTGGTTTGTATCAGCTCTCCACATAATCCGCATCCTCCCTATTTGAAAGACAGATGGTGCATACAGATTGGTTCAGGGCCTCTGTGCTATCAGATAGTCCTTATATGTATTACAGCACCTAACTCATACATAGTTTTGTCTTATTTGCACCTGTCTGCTACCCCAGTCTACTCAGTCCTAGATTTGAAGGATGCTTTCTTTCCCTTTCCCATTCATCCCTCCTCACAACCTCTCTTTGTCTTTACCTGGGCAGACCTTGACTGTTGGCAGTCCCAACAGCTGACCTGGGCTGTCTTCTCACAAGGCTTCAGACACAGCCCCCATTATTTCAGCTGGGCACTTGCCCATGACTTGCTCTCTTCTCCATTCAATTCCCACCTCATACAACTTGTAGACAATCTTCTCCCCTGAATCTTTACTCTACTGCTCTTATAACACTTAGACACAAAGGGCTACCATGTGTCTCCATCCAAAGCTCAGATCTACTTTCTGCCTACCACCTATTTGGGTGTTATTCTGCATAAACAAATTTAAGCCCTTCATCCTAATTGTGTGCAGTTAATTTCTCAGATTCGCATCCCCACCACAAAGTAACAAGTTACTCCTTTCTTGGAGTGGTAGGATACTTATGTTTCTGTGTTCCTGGCTTTGTTCTCCATACCAAATCCTTATATCAGCCTTAGAAAAGGGGATGCAGCTGAACCTTTAGATCATACCAACTTTCCTTATTCTTCCTTTCAGACCTTAAAAGATGCTTCCTCCAGCTATGGCTTTGTCAGACTCTGCTCAGTCTTTCTGTCTATATAATATAGAGCATGGCAGTTGTGCAGTTGCCATTCTAGCCCAGGGACCAGTCTCATTTCTAGTTGCTTTGCTATCCAAACTTGATCCTAGTGTCTTAGATCAGTCAGCCTGCTTATAAACCTGCTGCTGCATCTTTAATACATACAAAAGCTCTAAAAATTACTAGATATGCACCACTCATGCTGTATTATTCCCACAACCTGCAGTCTCATATCCTCATCACATCTCATCTGTGCCCCTCATACCTTACCCTACTGTAACTGTAGCCTTGGGTGGTGACTTTGATCCTGCTTCTTATCTCATATGTACTCTGTCTCCTAAGATGCCAGATCCACCTGACTGTCTGTCCTCTACTTGATATCCTCATCCTTTCCTCACATCTCAGCTTTCCCCTGGTCTACCCTGATCACTCTTGGTTTCTTGATGGGAGTTCCTGTAAGGCTTCCCACTCATTGGCAGCTAAGGCAGGATGTGCAGTTGTCTCATGTCACTGTTATAGAAGCTGCAGTTTCTCCCTCGTCCACTACCTCTCAAGCTGAACTGAGTGCTCTGACTCATGCCCTTATGCTGGCCAAAGGCTTACAGGTTAACATCTATGCAGACTCCAAGTATGCATTTCACATATCTCATAATCACACTGTCGTACAGGCAGAGAGGATTTCTCCTCAGGAATCCTAATCATTAAAGCCCCATACTTTAAGGCCCTTCTCCAGGCAGTTCTACGAACATGAATGGCTATACTTCACTGTAGGGGACAACGAAGACTCTTAGATCCCACAGCTGTTGGGAATGCCTTTGAAGCTAAAGCAACAAAGGAAGGAGCTAATTTCTCCTAGTATGTTACAGAAGGCAATAATATTTTGCCTTTTCCTGTTTCACCCTCATGTACTCTGAGCATCAAATAATACCAGAACTACCCTCAAAAGGAGGGGCGATTCCTAGATCAAGGAAGATTCCTCCCTGCCTCACAAGCCCACAGTACCTTGTCATCTCTGCATGATAATTTTCAGGGAGGTTACAAACCATTAGCCTGTCTACTTAAGTCTCTTGTCTGCTTTCCTTCCTGGAGGATCCTCCTTAAGACTTAGAGCTCAGTGCCATGTCTTCCAGGTAACTATACCCCAGAGTTCCCTGAGGCCCCACCTTTTGCAACACAGCAGGCTGAGGACTGGCAGATTGACTTCACTCATATGTCATGGGTACACACTTAAGATATCTTTTAGTCTGTGTTGACACCTTCACTGGGTGGGTGGAGGCTTTTCCCACCAGTTCAAAAAAAGCACCACCCATCACAGATTCTCTCCTAACTGGCATAATCACCTAGTTTGGTCTCCCCATGTTCATTGAATTAGATAATGGCCTAGCTTTTATTAGTGAAATTACCAAGGAGATGTTTAAGTCCTTAAAGATCCAGTGGAAGGTAGGTACCTATTGACCTCAGTCCTCCAGCAGAGTAGAAAGGAAAAATGGTTCACGTAAAGCCCATCTTATTAAACTTATTAAACACACCAGCTTCACAAAGACTGGGCCACTGTCCTCCCAATTGCTCTTTTAAGAGTGTTCCTTAGGGCTGGCCAAGTGGCTCGGGATTAAAGAGCTTGCAAGCAGGTGCAGGGGCTGGGGTGCGATCCTGGGCCTGCCATGCCGGCCCCACCCCCAGGGCTCTTAGGAGGCTGTAAACAGGCAGATCACTATGAGTTTGATCTAGTAGTGAGACCCTGAACACCCTGTAGACCCTTCCCTAAAATGACAAAAATAAATTAAAAAAAAAAAGTGTGCTTTAGTCTCCACCTATAGTTGGTTTGAACTTTTACACAGGAGCACCTTCCTGCTTGGACCAAACCTCAGCCCAGAGAAAAGCCCTATTGGAGATTATCTGCCAGTTTAATAACAGGTTCAAAAAGACATGCAACATGCTGCTGATCTACCTTCTGACACCTACCCAAATGATGACAACCTGGCTAATAAACTGGTTTTGATTAAAAATTTAAACCCCCAATCCCTACAGGCAAACAATGAGACCTTTCAGAATCATTTGTAGCACTGCAATGGCTGGCTGTCCATTTACAAGAACCTCCACAGTAGAGTCAACAGTCTCAAAGCTGTGCCCAGCTGACAATTTGTCTGACCTCTCCCCTTTGTGGAAGTCACAAATGGTCTCCCTCACATCTGTGAGGCTGACCAAATTCCCGGAAAACACCTCAGTGCTCTGCCAGTGTACATCATGTCACTTCATCTACTTTATTCAATTAGTTTATGCTGATTTGCAGGCTTCTACCTTTACCAGGATACACTGTAATTTGTCCCCAGAGGAAGTCACAGTATTTTCATTTTTTCTCACCCTTCTGTTTGATGATCAATAGGGAGACCCATGACAGATAAGGCAAACCTCAGACATCCCCTATTTTTACTTTGCCTCTTTGTGGGTCCTGCTTTCCATTCTTTTTTTTCTTTTTCCCCCCACAATTTTATTGAGAAATAAATAGCAATGAGACAGTTCCAAATTAAGTTGGTAGGACAGTTCCAATAATTAACACATTGCATACTGCCTTGCTAGTGGTTGTTTGTTGTACAAGATGCAGAAATGATATCCTATTTACAAACACTATTAGAACAAATCCCTCTGTTCCTTGAATTAAGAAAATGTAGCTATATATCTATCCTAGCCATTTTGAATACACAGATATAAAATGGACATGCATCTATATCCCCTTTTTTTGTTCAGTTCCATCATTTAAATACTATAGGTGTGTGAACTCAGCAAAATATTCCAAAATAGTCCAGTAGTCCATAATAGTATTGGGTCTTCCACTTGACTGGCAATGTCAGAAGTTGTTGACCTGAGTCCCCTACAGCTCAACATAACAACATGGCTTTATTTCTTG